ATTATCATTATCATTAGATTAGATTCTGGGAAACAACCAACCTACCCCTCGCAAACTCAACGTAAACACTGATGTCTCACTTAGGACAAAACGTTGGATTAAGGGAGAGGTAGGTGGCAGTTGCCCAGATTCTTAAATTGATCCGAAAAACCCCCTAGGTTGCTGCTAAGCTTATGATGCAGGAGCATGCGCAGACGTGGTCAGTCTTGAAAACTCTCTACAGTAGCATGGGAAGTCCTGGTTCAACACCTGCAACGCTGGCACCCAGTACTAAAAATCCTCTCGCGACCGGAAGTCATGGCAGTGGTGGGGGCCTGAGTACCACCGGAAATATTGAACCTGCTACTAGTGAGTAAATACGCCGGTTTTGTTTTAAGTTTGAGTTTTTCAACCTGACTTTAGTGACACCGCCGTTTAGTATGAGGTTGTGAGTGTTGACAGTAGCCTGCTCCGCACGCGTTTCCTGGAGGTTTTTTTAAGCTATAATCCGCTTATATTAGGAACTGTGCAATAATTACCAAGCAAGGCAGCTTTTGAAATGAGTGTAAACGACTAAAAGTTAACTTGATTAAATGAACCATCGTGTAACAATAACTAAAATAACTTCCCCCCTGCTGTTAAAGCCGATAACTAAGGCACATTTCCACGTGCAACCAATTGGTCTTTTTCTTCTCTTGTCTGTCTTCCGCGCCGCTTCCAAAATCAAAAGCTACACACAGGAAAAAATAGAGGAAAAAAACTATTAAAAATTCTACACTGAACTACTAAATACGTCTGTACTATGTAACATAACGTAACGTAACGCCTAATGCAGGAGTAGTTTACCAGAAATGATGGTATTTATACAGTCGAACCCCTGCTTACGGCCATCTCTCCACTACGGCCACCTCTCTACAACAGTCACTTTTTTGGCGGACAGTCCATACATTGACTCTTGTTTAAACCTTTCTACCACGGCCACCGCTTCACAACGGCCACTTTTCTTGGCGGACAGTCCAATCATTGACTCTTGTTTAAACCTTTCTACAACGGCCACCGCTCCACAACGAGTACTTTTTTAGGCGGACAGTCCAATCATTGACTCTTGTTTAAACCTCTCTACAACGGCCACCGCTCCACAACGAGTACTTTTTTTGGCGGACAGTCCATACATTGACTCTTGTTTAGACCTGTCTACAACGGCCACCGCTCCACAACGAGTACTTTTTTTGGCGGACAGTCCATACATTGAGTCTTGTTTAGACCTCTCTACAACGGCCACTTTCTTCTGTCCCCAAGGTGGCCGTTGTGGAGAGGTTTAACTGTAGATGCTTACAAGTCACATTTCTCCTTTTAGCTGGAATAAGCAGTCAAAGTAATGTCCAGAGCACACCAAATCCAAAATCATCAGCTGAACCAACAGTGGCACATAGTACTGGGTTACAAGGAGACACTCAAGGTAAAAACAGTTGGTCCACAAAGCTCCATGCATTATTTTATTCTTGGTTTGCAACCACGTGACAAGCCCGGGGGCGGGGTAGGGGGGAGGGGGTACTCCCTATGATGGCTTATACGGGAAGGCTCCGCCCGGAAGGGGTATCTTCTTCAGGCTTCAGGTATATGAAAGGGTCAGGGACTTTACTTGTAGAAGTATATAAAAGTGTAGGGAAATCTGTCGTTTTAGTTTGTGGAAGGGCCCGAAAGGGCTAACAGATGAATTTTGTGGCTCTATAAAGTCGAGAAAACGTTTTTTAATGATTTATTCCTATTTAACAGACAGTGCATTTACAACGGTTAAAAGGGGTGCAAAGTTCTAAACAAGGTATGTGAAAGGGGCACAAATTGTCAATAGAAGGTGAAAATCGTATATAAAAGGGTAAGGGGTTGAACCTCGGGGCGGAGCCTCCCCGCATGAATATTTGTTGAGTACCCTCCGAGGTGACAAGGCGGCCATGTCGGGGATCAATACATTATTTTTTTTCTCGAAGAATTCACATGAAAATATAATCTAGTTCCTAGAGGAGAGAAATGCTTTTGTTGTTGATCACCGAAATGGCCGCCGTGACGTCACCTGCAAGCATGTTTTGACTTACGTTTTAACCATGTTCACCGTTAAGTGTAAGGAAAAGTATTCTAGGAGTACATTCAAAGGTAATGTATGGGGTTATACAGACATCATACGATTTCAGTCACTCGCCTGTCAGTTAAGAGTTTTAAGAAGCAATATCACAGTATAGCTCTTGTGTGTATTTGTTAGGATCTCTACCACTAATGAGTAAAAAGGTTGGAATCCTTTATAATTAATAAAGGTGCACTTCCGTAACGGAAGGGTCCATGTCCCCAGGGTAACCTGGATTCTATAGTAAGAAGCATGTGGGAAGGTGTGATAGTCTATCGCCGTGTTTCCTGTGTCGTTAATACTCCTGGATTAAGGTAGGTAGTGTAATGCAGAACAAGAAAACAACGCCATCAGTGTGAGGCGAGATTTCTTGTCAAAAGTCAAAACCAATGAGTTGGCCGGCGTCAAAGCACTTGAGATCCGAGGAGCTAAGTACTCTGTATGGCACTATGTGTTACGCTAGTAATAACCAGAGTTTACGGACTGCGGGCGACAACGATCGAAGGCAGGGCGGATAAAGGTTGGGCGGTGAAACGAGCGCGTCCGAGCAAAAAGGTGTGATGCAGTGGACTGGGACTCTGCTTAGAAATGTCGCTTGTTTTCGACTTCGGTCAGGGCTTGTGATGTGGTTTGTACATTAGACACTGCCGCTGTCACTGAATTATGGCGGCTTGATTTGTTTTCTTGCACTTCTTCGTCGTTCCTTTGTGCTGGTACGCTGTCTCCGGGCGCGTTGCACCCAAGAAGCAAAGTTTGAAGAAGTACAACGCCACTATATCAATTTATATCAATCTAATTTTTTGTTATGTTATACAAAATTTATCCCCTTTTAACATATATAAAAATTGAGGTTAAGAAGTGTTAAGCTTTTGCAAACGAAACGGCGAAAGACGATTAGGTGATATTTAGTGGAAGGAGGAGGTATTCAACACTTTCAAATTAAACTCAAATTTTGGCATTATACGACCAACAAGTTTGACTTATAAACGTACAGACACAAACATATGAAACTATTTATTGATATTGTTATGAAACGAATTTATCTATTTAACATTGTAGCCTGAAATTACAGAAAGAAAATAGGATTTCCGGTTTGCAAACAGGAAAATTTCGCCGGCCTTCAAGCGCACCGGAAGCGCGGAAAGAGCGCTCGTGCCAGTCCTACTACGCATCACACATTAAATGAAGAGCTCCTTTCACCGCCCAACCTTTATCCGCCCTGATCGAAGGTCAAAACGCTTTTGCTCCAGCGCTGTGCTTTGCGCAAGTTTCACGTGACAGATGGTGGAAACACGCGTGAACAGATAACGAGCAATGGAAGATCCAAACGCGCGTGATCAAAGTGCGTTCTTTGCATGCTATACATTCTTAGTGGAACTCATGCGTAATAACAACTTGGCGATTAGGATTGCGGGCTCCTCTTGTCGCCCGCAATAACAAATTTACCGCTGGAACTTCCAACATTTCCCTCTTTTTTTTTATTCTGGTTTCTTTAGATGATAACGATGATTCATCTTCATCAAGCAGTGAAGGACATTCCAAGTTTCCAAGCTTTGCCGGCGGAGGTATTAACAATGCGAAAAAATTGTCACTTAAAGAGGCGAAAAAGAGGAGATCACCCCTCTCCCCTCAGTTAGCCTGAGTTTGCTTTGGTGATATTTTTGCACTCACTAAACATTCGTCCCGGTTCGTTTGCTGAACACATATCGTTGAATATACGAAACAAAACCCACGAGTGTGAAAATATGGCCAAAATTACCAATTTGCATCCATTTTTTTGTTGGCCTAGGAGATTAAAGTTTTTTTGTGACGATTAAATCTGAATTAGTTTCGTGTTATTTGGTTTTTCATTTATAAGTGTTCCATTCTATCGTGTACTGATGTTTTCATAGATATTATGTTCAGTGAAGATCAAGATGACGTGCCGTTTTTCTATGAAGACTCTGTCCGCCTCCAAGACGGTCCGAGGGACTGGACATTACCTAGCGTGAGTATTAGTGCATTTTGTGTGTTCATTTTGAACTCGATATCAAGGAATGTAATAGGAAATTAATTCATTTTTAGTGTGAAAGATTTTTCAGTCGCCCCAAATACAGAGAAGTTATAACTTAACAATTACTGCTTATTATGCGTGAAGGATTACAGACTTGAAATTGGAAATTTCATCAGTGCGCGAAGCGCACGCTTTGAAATTAAAATTTCACCAGCAAACCGAAATAAGATATAATAGCGTATTCTCCCGGCTTTTGGGCCAAGATCAAGCCATTGAAAGCCAAAGCGAGGCTAGAGCCTCGATCCCAAGTAAAATTCCTCATTCTCAAAAATGGGCGAAAGCTAGAAAGCAAGGCGAGACGAGTGAGTCATCAATGATCGACATATTTATTTGCACTAAATCATTCCGAAGTCTAATTATATAATAGAAAGACCTTTAAATGTAAACTTATGGATAGCTCTCAACATTCCTGAAATCCAGTGGATTATCAGTCTCTTGATGTGATATAAAACAATCAAGATCACTGCCAATGTCACTCTGATGACCTCAGAAATCCATTTAACAATCTTTGGATAACAAAATAACTTCAACAAAGAACAGCTCATCATCAAACTGCAGTGGCGTACACAGTAAAACTTCCCTGATGCTAACCATGATTAGTAGTTGTCCTTGGCACCTGTAATATTGAGCAAACCGAAATGTACGCCCCATTACTATCAGATGTATGGTTGGGCAGGGTGGGACACTATTATATCTTATTTCGGTTTTCTCATGAAATTTAAAATTTCAATGTGTGCGCTTCGCGCACTGATGAAAATTCCAAATTCACTTCGCAAACCTCTATAAGATATAAGAGAACGGCATAAGGATGATTCTTGTTTGTTCAGCAACTTTTTTGCTTTCTTCATATCATCTGTGAGACGACCTAATATGCCCAACCGGCGAGCATAAGTTAAACTCACGTTGGCCTGCCTCATCGTCAGAGTCACCAGTACGTACATTTTCCAGCTTTAACCAGAATCTCCCCAGTGGACCCATAACATTGTTTATGCGGGTTTGTGATTTTGACAATTTGCCGTCACTTTCACGGCCGTAGGACTTGCCCAGTAGCTCGAATATTTCGTCCAGGTAATTATCAACCTTAAGGCTCTTAAGGCATTTCACCTCAGGTATTGGATTTGTCTCGAGCACCGACTCTTGAATCTCCTTGTCCTTAACATAAGATGTGGGTTTTTCATGCAGGTGTCTCTGCATATCACGAGACAATTCAAGTTTATTACGGGTCATTGCGCCCGTGTCGAAGTACCTGTAGACGGTATCGACGAGTTAGCAGACTTATATTGTGTCGCTTGTGGTTTGATTCCGACCTGCTCGAGGTACTGCTGCAATCACCAGAAACACTCTTGGACTCATCATTTTCACTGCTCTCTTCACTGGAACCTGAAATAGAAGAACTGGAGGTCGAACGCCTCCGTTTGTTCGTTGCTTTGGACGAGCCTGTCGACTTACGTGTAGGCTGTTGTTTTTCAGCGCTCTCCTCAGAGGTGTTGTTACTGGCCAGATTCGCTTCCTCCCCGTCTTGGACGGGAGTGATATTGTTTAGATTCGCCATGGTTTAGTTTTTCGATAGAAAAAATCCGAAAGTATGACTTCAACGAGCGAGACGAAACCATCTAGCGCGAGGCCATTTTTGAGAATGAGGAATTTTACCTGGGACCGAGGCTCTAGCCTCGTTTTGGCTTTGAATGGCTTGATTTTGGCGCAAAAGCCGGGAGAATACGCTATTATATCTTATGGAGGTTTGTGAAGTGAAATTAGAGCTCGGCCGAGTGAGTCAGCGACTCGGCAGTGAAATTACCAGCTGGGTAGTGACTCGATTTTCAAATAATCAATTCATCAATAAAATCTATGAAGTATACTTGACCAGGCTTGACTATGAATCAATCTTTATTTATTTTACAGGAAGCGTTCGAGCCTAGGGCAGCACTAGATGACAGGTAATTAAACATGTGGAAATGGAGTTACATATATACCGCGAAAAACCCCCGCAATGTTTTTTTTTTTCCCGCCGGCTTCGGGTCAAAGCACCATTGACAACCGCGTCTCCTGCTTTTCCAATGAGGGAACAAAACAGACTGCAATACCCCAGAAAAGGCATGAAAGTGTATGACATATTCGTAGAAAATATTACTGTTTCTACTAGGTTTCTTGAATACCTGTAACTTGTTAGTGTAATAGAGTGTGGCATTCTAGGAGACAAAGCTAACATGTGAACAACTCAAATCGATAAAATTATCTTTAAATTGAGTACAGTGGTTTAACGTAGCAGGACAAAGCCATTAATCATACTACATGTACGTGAAAATTAATCTTGTAAGACATAAACACGACACCAACAGAACCCAAAACAGAGCGGAGTTGTAGCCCTCGACAGCTGTTTCGCATTTATAGTGGCTCGTCAGGACGGGGCAACAACAGACAGAACAAAGACGCTCTGCTGAGAAAATACCCGCTCACTTTGTTATAAGCCCTAACATTGAACCACAACACCCACCGAATCACGCCACATCACGTGTCTCTGGGAAGGCAAGAGCCCAAGTGTCGAGTTGATGTCTCGCAAAGAAAATGTATAGGATGGCCAAAACCATCATTAGAAACACGGACAAAACCATGCAAAATGTACAGCATATCCGATCTATAAAATAGATCTACGGCCCCAAATAATTAAATAATTTATAATAATTAATATGTAATTTCCCAGGCCAACTTCACCTTCACTTGATCAGGAACCAGACAGACCCGAGTCACCAACAAGGTTTGTTGAGCTCTTTTTGTTGACTTTCACCCTTGCCCAAGTTTCGCCGGATTACTGTACGTTTCTGGGAAACTGCCCACCTACCCCTCCCCTAAGCCAACATTAACACCTACTTCTCTCTTAGGGAAAAATGTTGGCTTAGGGGAAGGGTAGGTCGGCTGTTTCTGAGAAACGTATGATGATCGCCCCATGTAAGGTAATCCGGATTCCGGAATCCGGGTAATTTTTGCTTGTGGAATCCGGAATCCTTGGCTTTGGAGTCCGGAATCCTAGTTTCCCTAACAAGGAACCCTAAATTTACAGTGTGGAATCCAGAATCCAAGATTGTCTTGAATTACCTTAATTGGGGTGACAAGAGGAAACAGTGAGGAATTTTACTTGGGATCGAGGCTCTAACTTCGTTTTGACTTTTGGCGCGAAAGCTGGGAGAGTACGCTATTATATGGGGCGATAAGTGAAAACAAAACGGTTGTTCACCACGACTGTTTTATTGTCACTTCCTGGAGATGGATGAATTGCTTTCCACTATGTTTCAGAGAGCCTTCTTTAATGTCTGTGTCCTTTATTTTACAGCAATGTCGAGTCAGAATCATTAAGCGCCACAAATGTAAAGTCCCTCTTAGATTCAAGCAGTGAACATCAAGGAGCTGATCCCACTTCGAACAAAACGTTGGTGAGTAAAACGCGATTAAACACAGGTTGTACATTTCAGCTCATTATTCTTTGTTACTACGCTCCTCAAGATTGGTCACCGGTTGATTAAGAACTTAACCTTGAGTGAGGTTGTTGTTGTTGTTGTATTTTTTTAAATCTCCTTTGGCCATTGGTTAGACCCGATTCCTTTTATGTGAATTTAGACACACTGCTACCCGCTAGCTATTCAGTACTTTAATAAAAACTTATTTGTATGGTCAATCTTTCTCATTCTATGCTAGCCTCTTCCAGAATGGGATTTCACGTCACTGGTTGTGGAAATGCTTCACCACTTAGCAAACCAGGTAAAAGCATCAATTGTTCCCCTTTTTCCTGTAGCCTTTCGCTTCTAACCTCATCAGCTCCGTTGTAATGCATGTTGGTAAAAGAAACTATTTGTTTTGAAGTTCCATCGCCAGTAAATCAACTTGAACTTTAAATCAACTTGTAAAAGACGCTCTGACCAGGATGAGTTTGTGGCAGATTTTTTTTATCTTATCTGGGCATTTAAAGTTCCTGGTAGATTTAGCAATTCCAATTAATTTACCGTCCCCTTTTGTTGGTCCAATAATGAACAGACAAATCCTCGTCACCAGGAAAGCCATTGCCATGTGCATCACCACTATCTCTATTCCTTTTTCCACCGCCATCTCTAACTATCACAGTTATCTCCATCGCTGTCCACATCATTGACCACTATGTTCACAGTTGCTACCACCACCACGAAAATCAGTCCATGATGTATAGATTTAGCCAAGGTCAAAGGCGAAGCTCTCGTGGGAACTTTTAAGAAATGTCTTTGTGAAGTAAAGTTGTCTGAACCTGTGATCACTTGAATACCATAACTGGTCAGCGGAGAACTTGTAAAAACAATGAGTTGTATACCTGAGCCCGTGATACAGTCATGTAACACAGGTCAGTGGGTTCCCTACTTTGATAGCTGTCAACTGATCATAGAATTGATGTCCAATATCAAGATAAACACAATTTGCATATGCCTTAGACTTTAAAGCTAGTAAGATATTTCACATCTGCTTCATGAAGGGGTGGACGAACGTACAGACGATTTTGTCAGAGCCAAAATTTCTTGGATGAATAGCGGGGCCCTTGCGCGAAGCGCGCGCAAGGGCTCCGCTATAACCACCATCATTCCCGTCAGCACCATCACCATTGTGATCGCCACTAACACCACTTCACTCACCATCCCAACATCAGCATCCCGTTCATTCCACCGATTGTAACACCATTGCCACCACCGCGTTATTGACCACTCCAGAAAATACCATAACATACCATAGTGCTCTTTGTTTGTCACCCCAAAATTTTGCATAAGCATCGTTTTCAGTTTCTTTTTGGCCATTTTAACTCCCAAGAGAAACTGAAGACAATTCTTATGCAAAATTTTAGGGTGACAAACAAAGAGCAGTATGGTATATTATGGTATTTTCTGGATCAATTACCACCATGACTTTTACGATCGTACTAAAACTTCTACATCACTATCGTGATCCTCCTTATAACCACCATCATCCTTATCACCAACCATCGCCAACCATTTCTCATTTTCTCATCTTCACACCATTATTCCCAACTCCACCCACTACGCTACACTCACCATCCCACCATCGCCACCTCCATCATTCCACCTGTCATCTCACCGTTGCCACCATCTCTTTTACGATCCTCACTCGTCCTTGTGTATAACNTCATCAGCTCCGTTGTAATGCATGTTGGTAAAAGAAACTATTTGTTTTGAAGTTCCATCGCCAGTAAATCAACTTGAACTTTAAATCAACTTGTAAAAGACGCTCTGACCAGGATGAGTTTGTGGCAGATTTTTTTTATCTTATCTGGGCATTTAAAGTTCCTGGTAGATTTAGCAATTCCAATTAATTTACCGTCCCCTTTTGTTGGTCCAATAATGAACAGACAAATCCTCGTCACCAGGAAAGCCATTGCCATGTGCATCACCACTATCTCTATTCCTTTTTCCACCGCCATCTCTAACTATCACAGTTATCTCCATCGCTGTCCACATCATTGACCACTATGTTCACAGTTGCTACCACCACCACGAAAATCAGTCCATGATGTATAGATTTAGCCAAGGTCAAAGGCGAAGCTCTCGTGGGAACTTTTAAGAAATGTCTTTGTGAAGTAAAGTTGTCTGAACCTGTGATCACTTGAATACCATAACTGGTCAGCGGAGAACTTGTAAAAACAATGAGTTGTATACCTGAGCCCGTGATACAGTCATGTAACACAGGTCAGTGGGTTCCCTACTTTGATAGCTGTCAACTGATCATAGAATTGATGTCCAATATCAAGATAAACACAATTTGCATATGCCTTAGACTTTAAAGCTAGTAAGATATTTCACATCTGCTACATGAAGGGGTGGACGAACGTACAGACGATTTTGTCAGAGCCAAAATTTCTTGGATGAATAGCGGGGCCCTTGCGCGAAGCGCGCGCAAGGGCTCCGCTATAACCACCATCATTCCCGTCAGCACCATCACCATTGTGATCGCCACTAACACCACTTCACTCACCATCCCAACATCAGCATCCCGTTCATTCCACCGATTGTAACACCATTGCCACCACCGCGTTATTGACCACTCCAGAAAATACCATAACATACCATAGTGCTCTTTGTTTGTCACCCCAAAATTTTGCATAAGCATCGTTTTCAGTTTCTTTTTGGCCATTTTAACTCCCAAGAGAAACTGAAGACAATTCTTATGCAAAATTTTAGGGTGACAAACAAAGAGCAGTATGGTATATTATGGTATTTTCTGGATCAATTACCACCATGACTTTTACGATCCTACTAAAACTTCTACATCACTATCGTGATCCTCCTTATAACCACCATCATCCTTATCACCAACCATCGCCAACCATT